AGCTTCTTATCCTTATTCCTGAGATGCCAGCTCTAAGATATTTTGTGCCCTGCATTTTTTCCCTGCTTATGAAATTTGAAAATGCCCTGAGAATACGAATTAAAGGCATAGGACTCATTCCAATCAATTTCTTTTTTTCTGGGATTTTGATCCAAGTCTGCTGTGTATGCCAACGTTTGATACTTTTATAGTTTTTTTAGTACGTTTTGTGGGTATTGGCTTTTGCTTTTATTAATTGTAGCAAAATACACATAAAATTTACCATTTTAACCATTTTTGATTACATAGTTCAGTAACATCAAGTACATTCACATCATGGTACAACCATCACCACCATCCATCTCTGAAACTTTTTTCATCTTGGAAAACGAAAACTCTACCTATTAAACAGTAACTCCCCTCCCCCCTTCCCCTAGAAACCACCAATCTACTCACCTATGAACTTGACTGTTCTAGGCATTTCATATAAGTAGAATCATACAGTATTTGCCCCTTTTAACTGGCATATTTCATTCAGCATAGTGTCATCACTGTATCATGTGACAGGATTTCCTTCCTGTTAAAGACTTTAAAATGATATTCATCTGTTTGTATTTACATTTAGTTTATGCATTCATCTTTTTTTTTTTTTGCTATTGATGTTTTATTAAAAATCAAGATTCCATAACTTTTAATGAGTTAATGAGTTCCATCTTTACTTTTGCATCCACTTCGGATAATATTCTCAGCCGACTTCTGTGATGGAGCTGCTTCTCTACTTTTAAAAATATTTTATTTTCTTAATGTGTCTTTATTTTTGAGAGAGAGCATGAGGAGGGGCAGAGAGACACAGAATCAGAAGCAGGCTCCAGGCTCTGAGCTATCAGCACAGAGCCCAACGCACGCTCAAACTCACAGACCGTGAGATCATGACCTGAGCCAAACTCAGATGCTTAACAGACCCAGGCACCTGCCTCTTCTCTACTTTTAGCTGTGGAGTTTGTTCTGCTTGTCTTGGTTGTTTGCTGAGTTATTCACGGTGATGTGTTACCTGCTTGTATCCATGGGATGGAGCGAGCTTAGGGTCCTCCTACTCCACCTTCTTCTCAGCTTCTCTGTTATGCATTCGTCTTCATGGACACTGGGACATTTGCCCCTTGTGGCTATTGTGAATAATGCTGCTATGAATACTTGTGTACAAGTATCTGTTTGAGTCCCTGCTCCGAGTTCTTTTGGATATATAACCAGGAGTGGAATTACTGGATCATGTGGTAATTATAGGCTTAGGTTTTTGAGGAATCGACACATATCCTCTGTAGTAGTTGCACAATTTCACATTCCCACCAGCAATGGACAGGGGTTCCAGTTTCTCGATATCCTTGTGAATACTTGGTATCTTCTGTGGTGTAAAGTTTTTGTTTTGTGCTGTGTTCTTATCTTCCTTATTTAACTTAACAGCAAAATCCATTCTTTTTGGGTATACATTTTAGTGAGTTTTGACACATGCATAAAGGCACAGTCATCACCACAGTGAAGATATAGAACAGTTTCATCATCTCAAAACTTTCTTGGTCCCTCTCACCACCACTAATTCCTGGCAATCACCAGTTTATTCTTTATCCCTATAATTTTGCCTTTTCTTGTTATGTCATATAAATTGAACCAAATGGTTTGTAGTTTTTTAAGACTACCAACTGGCATTTAGCATAATGCATGAGATTTAATCATGTTCCAAGTATCAACAACTCATCCTTTTTCATTGCTAGAGACTATGGACTTGTATGTATGTACCCCATTCATTAATCTGTTCACCAGCTGACAAATATTTGGGTTTCTGGCAGTTATGAAAGGAGCTGTTACAAATATCTGTGTTTAGATTTTTGTGCTTAGATTTTGTATGTTTAGATTTTCATGTATCTTGGGTAGGTACCTAGGCAAGTGCTTGCTTGGTCATGTTTAAGTATTTGATTAACTTCATAAGAAACTGCCAAACCGTTTCCAGAGTAGCCGTACTGTTTTGTATTCCCACCACAAAGTGCAGGGCTCTGCTCGCTTCACATTTTTGTCTGCGTTTGGTATTGTCAGTTTCTTTTTTTTTTTTTTTTTCCAAGAAAAAAAGGGATGCTGATAGGGATGTAGTGGTAGGCCATCATGGTTTTAATTTGCATTTTTCCTAATGACTAATATACTGGAAATGTTTTAATGTGCTTATTTGCCATCTATATATCTTCTCTGCCCAAATCTTTTAAATTAGGTTATTTTCTTACTGAATTTTGAGTTCTTTATATGATCAAAGCATTTTGAGAGTGCTCTGTGATTTTCAAATATTTGCTCGCTTTCTGTGCCTACTCTTTCCACTCAACTATATCTTTCACAGAGCAAATTTTTCTGACTTCCAGATTTTCTTTCTAAATTTTGTGTGGTGTTGTATCTAAAGAGTTTTTGCTTAGCTCAGAGTCACAAAGACTTTTTCCTATCTTCTAAAAATGCTGTAGTTTTTACACTTTGCATTTAGGTTTATAATTCATTTTGAGTTGATTTTTGTATATAAAGTATAAGCTATTGGCTGAGGTTCATTTTTTGGTTTTTTTTGTTTTTTTTTTTTTTAATTTTTTTTTAAAATTTTTATTTTTTCAACGTTTATTTATTTTTGGGACAGAGAGAGACAGAGCATGAACGGGGGAGGGGCAGAGAGAGAGGGAGACACAGAATCGGAAACAGGCTCCAGGCTCCGAGCCATCAGCCCAGAGCCCGACGCGGGGCTCGAACTCCCGGACTGCGAGATCGTGACCTGGCTGAAGTCGGAAGCTTAACCGACTGCGCCACCCAGGCGCCCCTCTTTTTTTTTATTTTTTTTTTATTTTTTTAATGTTTGTTTATTTTTGACACAGAGAGAGAGAGAGACAGAGCATGAGTTGGGGAGGGGCAGAGAGAGAGGGACACAGAATCCGAAGCGGGCTCCAAGCCCTGAGCTGTCAGCACACAGAGCCCGACACAGGGCTCAGACTCACGAACCACGAGATCATGACCTGAGCCGAAGTTGGACACTCAACTTACTGAGCTTCCCAGGCGCCCCACACACCATTGGATTCTAACGCAAAACATTAAATATTTGAAGCCATAGTGATATAAATAAATGACTAAACAAATAAATAAGCAGGGAGAAAAGGATATTCTTTGTGAAAAATTACAATATATGTAGATAGTGCCAACTTCTACAGGTGGGGCCTACTCCCTCTTCGAGTATGTGCTGGACTTAGTAAATTTCTTTTAAAGAATACAGTGTGAAAAAGAAAAAGCTACTCTACGGGGGAGAAAACTGGCAAAAACTACCCTAACAAACTAATCTAGGTGATCATCACCAGTGGTATTATGTACCCACACTGATATATACTTTTATACTTTATACACTTTTCAGTTTTATTTATTTAGAGAGGGTATGCACACACACGTGAGCGGGAGAGACGGAGAAAGGGAGGAGAGAATCCCAAGCAGACGCCCCCATACTGATATATTATGATGAGGACTCTTTGTTATTCTCCCTCAAAACCTATAATCTTCAGTTTAACCAGCATAAACCCTAAATTAAATTACTTCTGCAATTTGACATCTATTCTGGGTGTATTCCTTCATTTCCCTTAATTTCTCTAAGACTGTCTTATTTTTTTGTGTTTAATTTTTTCTAGTGTACCATTTTGATTTATTCATTTCCTTTTATTTTTCTGTTACTTTTAAAAGTTATCTTCATACTCTGGTTTCTCTTCAGATCGTATAAATCTTTCGCCTTTTAAAAGTTATCTTCTAGGGGCGCCTGGGTGGCGCAGTCGGTTAAGCGTCCGACTTCAGCCAGGTCACGATCTCGCGGTCCGTGAGTTCCAGCCCCGCGTCGGGCTCTGGGCTGATGGCTCAGAGCCTGGAGCCTGTTTCCGATTCTGTCTCCCTCTCTCTCTGCCCCTCCCCCGGTCATGCTCTGTCTCTCTCTGTCCCAAAAATAAATAAATGTTGAAAAAAAAAATTTGAAAAAAAAAAAAAAATAAAAGTTATCTTCTAGTGGTTACACTGACAATTACAATTAATATCCCTAATTCCTAACAATTTGAAGTGATACAAATCTAGCTTCACTTGCATAACAGCAACTGCTGAAACAGCTCATTCTTCCCCCTTCATTTTGTTAGTGTCACATATATTCATATTTTGTGTGCCCACTAACCTAGATTTACAGTTAACTATTTTATTCATTTGACTTTAAACCATACAGCACATAAAGAGGAGTTATAATAAAAAATACAATAGGGGCGCCTGGGTGGCTTAGTCCGTAAGTGTGATTTGTGAGTTCTAGCCCTGTGTCGGGCTCTGTGCTGACAGCTCAGAGCCTGGAGCCTGCTTCGGATTCTGTGTCTTCCTCTCTCAGATCTGTCTCACTCTCTCAAAAATAAACAAACATTACAAACATATACAATACAGGCTTTTATATTTTTCTACGGTCACCTTTACCTGTGTTCTTCATGTGGCCTTGAATTACTGTCTAATGTCTTTTCATTTCAAGCTGAAGAACTCCCTTTGACATTTCCTGTAGGGCAAGTCTCCTAGTCCCTGAGGCTTTATCTTCAAATACCTTTTAATCTCTCCTGCACTACTGAAGGACAGTGTTGCTAGAATTCTTGTTTGGCAGTTTTTTTCTTCCAGGAATTTAATGCATCATAGTGCCTCTGGTCTCCAAGTTTCTGTTGAGGATTTAATCATAGTGAGGATCTTGCTGCTTTTAAAAGACTTTTTGTCTCTGGTTTTGACAATTTGATTATAATGTATATTGGTATGGAGCTCTTTGAGTTTTCCTTTTTGGAGTTCACTGTGCTTCCTGTGTGTACACATTTATGTCTAGCATCAAATATGGGAAGTTTCTGGCCATTATTTCTTCAAATATTATGTCTCTTTTCCTGCCTCTTCTCTGGGACTCCCAGTTTGCTTCTGTTGGTATGATTAATGGTGCCCTCACAGGTCCTGTTAGGCTCTGTTCATCTTTCATTCTTTGTTTCCTTCTCCTCAGACTGATTCATTTCAAATGTCTTCAGTCGTACAGATTTTTCTGCCTGCTCAAATCTGTTTCGATGTGTTGTATTGAATTTTATATTCCAGTTACTGTACCTTTGAATTTCATAATTTCTTTTTATAACTTGTATCTTTTTGATATTATTTGTTCATACATTGTTCTCCTAGTTTCTTTCAGTTCTTTGTCAATGGTTTCCTGTAGCCCCTTTGAGCATGCTTAAGAGAGTTGATTTAAATTGTTTGTCTAGTAAATCCAATATTTGCATTATCTGAGGGATGATTCCTGTCAATTTCCTTTTCTTTCCCCCTGTGAATGGGCCTACTTGTTTATGCCTTTACCTTTTGGTTAGAAGTTTTGTAATATGAATAAACATTATAATGGGCTTAAGTCTGGAAAGCAGGTTGTCCCCCTCCCCACGGTTTGCTTTTGCTGCTCGCTGAAGGCTGGACTTGTTCATTTGTTTACTCTCCAGTTTTTCCAAGGCTATGTTTCTTGTCAAGTGTGGTCATTGCCATTTCTGTTCCATTATCTCAGAGGTCAGCCGGTGATGTGACAGAGATTTCCTTAAACTTCTGGAACCAAAAAGAAAAATCAAATACTCACTCGATATTTACATAGTGGCTCTACACTGGGGCACTCCTTCTCCATTTAACCATGCTGTCTACCCTTTTGCCTTACCCTCCACCTCTTTGGAAGAGCCCTAAGATTAGCCAGAGATGGATGTCAGCCTAGTGTCCTCTCTAGTGTTTTCTGAGCCTGTGTCCAGCCCTGGGCATGCACATTGCTCTCTGGAGTCCCTGGTTTATGCACTGTAGTCTGTGCAGGCCCTTTTTCTCCCTACTGTCTTCCTCCTCAGCTTCCACCTTCCCCGGCATCTGGAGTTGTCTCTGCTTTTCCCAGCACCGTGCCACAGACCGTACATGTCATGACGTAGTTTTCATTGAGTCTGGCCCAGGATGCCATTCCAGACCTAGAAGGGCAAAAGGCAGGCAAGCCTCTGCACTCACCCACCAGGAAACCACTAGACAGATCAAAACTGTCTTAGCAGTGTTTGAACACAAAATCTGTGTTGTCTCACCCTGTCCATCTGCACCAGGAACACAGGCACTGTCCCTACTGCCCTTGCCACACTGGAGAGGGGGTTGGTGGGTGGGCAAGCAGAAATACCAGTGCTTTCTTCATGGTTAGCATCCTCTTTCTTAGGTACCTCACTAGTTGCTCTAAGCTTTTCATTTGTTTTCAGAATTAGATTCTAGAGTTCTGAAAAAGTTGATTTTGTCAGTTTTTGCCAGCTTAATAATGGTTGTCTCAGTTGGAGGGAACAATTTTTGAAGCCCTCTACCATCACTCACATCGAAAGGTTTTTTAACTACAAGAGCAATTTACTGAATAAATACATAGGACTATTCAGCTCTAGGTATTTCTAAGTGAGATTTAATATTTTCTTTCCAGGAATTGGCCCATTCCATCTAAGTTGTCAAATTTATAAACTTAGAATTGTTCACAGTATTTTTTATTATTGTTTTAACATTTGCAAGGCCTATAGGAATTGTTAACTTGTTTTGTTTTCTTCATCATTCTGGGTATAATTTTATCAATTTTCTTGATCATTCAGAGAACTTTTTGTTTTCCAGTAACACTAAACAAAAGTGCTCAAATATTATTTCCAAATATTTGGCACTTTCCTACCTAATTTTGTTACTGATTTCTAAGTTTAAATCAGCTGTGGGCAGAGAATATTTTATATGATTTCAGTTATTTTCAGATTTGTCTTCTGGTCAGAAAATGATCTTGTCAGTATTCCATGAAAAGATGTGAGCACGTTAACATACTAATCAGTATCTAGAAAGGACAGTGTGATTGTTTAGTATGCACAATAGTCTATTCCTTTTCATGGTCTCTGAATGCAATCCATTTTAACTCCCCACAGCTTCCTATTATGGCTATACCAGAAATAAGTTCTTAGTGACCTCATATCTGTTAGCTGTCATTTCTGGCTTACCACGTGCTTTTCCTTCTTGTTTCCTTTTCAGTGTATCCAAGTACTTTGGAGAATACTTGCATAGTTTGTAGGCTTTTAGTATCCTTATGTTTACAAAAACATCTGTTTTTAAAAAGTCTCAGAGAGAGTGAGTGAGCATGAGCAGGGGGAGGGCAAAGAGAGAGAGGGAGAGGAGAATCCCAAGCAGGTGCCACACAAAGATACACACAGAGATACATACGAGCCCCAAGATACAGGGCTGACTCACAAACCAGGAGATCATGACCTGAGGAAAATCAACAGTCAGAAGCTTAACCGACCTAGCCACCAGGTGCCCAAGAAGACACCTTTTTTAAAATTTATCCTTGATTGAAAATCTGGCAAGGCATGGGATTTTAGAGGCAAAACGTTTTTCATTAGACCTTTGTGGGTGTTCCTTCTTTGTCTTGCAGCATTTGGCTCCGCATATGAAAAGTCACATGTCCATTTTATTATCTTAGGTATTCTCTTAATTGCCGAAGTGATATTGCTATAAGAAAACAGTACTTGTAAGTATTTCATCACAGGTGTTGCCTTGTAAAGCAAAACAAAACAAAAACAAAAACCCTTTTGTATTATAAGGGAATACAATGTGTATAACACCATTTTGTGTTTCTCTTTCTGGCTGCTTTGTTCCCACACTTAGAGCCAGTGTCTTCCTCTGCTTTATGTGGTCAGTTCATTTCACCAGTTCTTGTCTTCAACTGAATGCTCTTTAAAAAGGGGGTGAGGACAAGGAATCCTAGAAGCTTGACTCTGATCAGTTTCCCTGCCAAATCCATTGTTCTGTCCTTATCAAACTCCAGGCCTTTGTTTTCCCGAGCTGTTAGGATGTGCATCCAAAAGCTGGTTTCTCTGAAGAATTTTAAGTCTTCCCAAAATTTCTCCAATCATCATGCTTAATGATTACAGCTTTCACTCCCTTGCTGTGCTCTTACCCAATTACTCTACCTTGGATGTTTACATTTGGCTTCACAGTAGAACTGCCCACTTGTTGTGAATCTGTCTTTGGTTCCTGAGCATTCTCCTCCTGGCCTGCTCTTCTATTTAGAGAAGTTCCGTCAGGCTTCGGTCTTGGCCTAGTTTCTCCTACCATCATCTTGAAAATTCCTATTTCCACAGATTTATTTTTCTTTTTTCTTTGGACTCTTCCAGAACCCTGCTAAATATATATGACAATATTATTTGTGGAAATTCACTTACATATGTATCTGCCAAAATGGACAGTTCCAGCTGTATGTTCAACAGTCACTTCACAGTGTGAACAAAATTCAACTCATTGCCTCTTTCTGCCCAACTGATTCTTTTTCTCATTTTCTCAATTTCTTTTATAGAATAATGTTAGCTGGCAAAATACAAACATCTCCACACACCACAACCTGCTGTATAGCTAGGAGGCAGGACACTTCAGTTTATGTATAAGTTGGGAGGTCACTGTCAAGAGCAGAAGCAGCTGGGAGCTCCCCCCAGAGCAGGAAGTCAGGAGGGGGTTGATGGAAGACAAAGGATGGTGAGGTCACAGTTGTAAAGGAACAGAAGATCAAGTGGACTCTGCCACAAGCAGAGGCGCTCACCCTGATTGGGGAAAGATGGGGGAAAGTCTGGAATCGTGGGGTCCAAGTACTGGCACCAGGATTAAAAAAGAAGGGACTCAGAATGTGTGCAGGAACATCAGCAACTCAGAGGAAAAGAAATAGAATTCCTGTGTGCCCGTACTGAAAGCACGTAAGAAAACAAGCAGCTGAAATCAGGTGCCCTAAAAAAGAAAAAAAACAAAAAACACTACACAGAATCTAAAGATACCTCCCCCAGTAGTGCTTTCTTCAAGAATGTGAACATATGGGGCTCCTGGGTGGTTCAGTCGGTTAGGTGGCCGACTTCAGCTCAGGTCATGATCTCGCGGTCCGTGAGTTCAAGCCCCGCGTCGGGCTCTGTGCTTACAGCTCAGAGCCTAGAGCCTGTTTCAGATTCTGTGTCTCCCTCTCGCTGACCCTTGCCCGTTCATGCTCTGTCTCTGTCTCAAAAATAAATAAACGTTAAAAAAAAGAAAAAAAATTTTTTTAAAAATGTGAACATACTATGCCAATAGAGACATTTTTGAACTAAGTAACACTTTCACCCCTCCCCAACACAAAATAAGCTTTTATCTTCATTTGATCATGAACCAAAAATATTACTCAACATGTATACAATGCTAATACAAGAAAAATTGGAATGTGTGAACTGACATTTTTTCAGCTGACGTCAATACTCCTCCCCCAAACACACACAAAGTAGAGGAGAGTACAGCCTTCCAATATTACGTGTTTCAGACAGGAAAGAACCTGAACCCCAGAGATTAAAGCCTCAGAACAGAAATGGAAAAACAAGTAGATATAAAATGTAAGCAAATTAACTCAGAAAAGAAATGGTAGAACAGCACATCATCTCAGAATAGAAGATTAAATTTCAGGGCACCTTGGGGAGAAGATGAATGAACGCCTGATAAATGATACACAGGAGAAATGGAAAAGAGACCCCAGGGAGTGGGAAGAATTAACTGGAAGAGGAAGACAGGGTAACAGAAGTAGAAGCTGAAGTAGGATCCGTCAGTAACAAAATCTAAAACTGATATTTAATCAGAGGAAACTTTCCATAAAGAAAAGGAAAACTGAATTACATACTGAGAAGACTCTCTGTGCCAGAGATAACTGACCCAGAATGGTAAACACCAAGAGAGAGTCTAGTAAAACTATTAGACCTAAAAGCAGAGGGAAAAAAAAGAGTCCTCTAGGCCACAAAGAACAAAGTCTACATCTCTTGGCAAGGAAAGAAAATAAAATTGACAGAACTCTTTTCTTTTTGAATGGACATAATTCTTATTAGCAACTTATATGTAAAAGAATAGGATGGTGTTTTCAGGAAAGAAATGTGAAGCAAGAATTTATATCCAATGATGAAGTTCCTCAAATTTTCACATTTCAGGTTTTATGAAATATAAGCAACGATTGGAAGAAATTTCATAGCCCTAAATAGTCCTGTCAATAAAAAAGAGAGAATGAAAATAATTAGCATTATAGTTCTAGCCATTATCAAACTATAGAGGTACTATGGGAAGTAACCTCCCCTTCTCTCAATAATTAATTTCCAAGGAAGTTATTTTTTACCCACTGCTGCTACTTTATTTTTTCATGTTTATTTTTGAAAGAGAAAGAGTGTGAGCAGGGGAGGGGCAGAGAAGAGAGGGAGACATAGAATCTGAAGCAGGCTCAGGCTCTGAGCTGACAGCACAGAGCCGGATGCAGGGCTTGAATCCACCAGCTGTGAGATCATGACCTGAGCCGAAGTCCGATGCTTCACCGACAGCCACCCAGGTGTCCCCACTGCTGCTACTTTAAATGTTTATTGCTCATGTATGCCTCTTAATTTTGTAACACTCCATATTTCTGATGTGCTCTTGCCTCTTCTTTAGTGTTTTTTTAACTTCAAAAAAGCACGAGTGGAGGAGGGGCAGAGAGAGAGAGAGATGGAGAGAGAGAATCCCAAGCAGGCCTATGCGGGGCAGGGCTCGATATCACAAACCAGATGATGACCTGAGCCGAAATCTAGAGTTGGTCACTTAACCGACTGAGGCACCTGGGTGCCCCTTTAGTGTTTTCTTCTAAGCACCAGCCTACTCCTGTAGCTCTGCTTACTACCCACATGTATCACTTCAGTAGCTCCATTATCTATAGTCGCATCTACAAAGTGAAGAGATGAACACCCCAAAAACATGTAAGACAGTCCACATAGTATAAAATACTAGAATTAGTTTTTTAATTATAAATAGAAATAAAACTTGCCAATTTTTAATAAACGGATTATTACAAATATAAATTAATAAGCAGGTACCAATTCAGTGGGTATGCAAAATACATTTTAATGGTCCAGAGACACATTCAGAATTATTCCATATTCTGTCACCGGACCGGACTGTATTACCTTCTAACTAATCTTTGTCCAACACCCTATTCTCGTATCAGACTGTCTTCTTTGTAATTTTCCTCAACTTGCCATTTTTCATGCATCCATCCATGTCTTTGTCAGTTCTGTCTTCTTTGCTCCCAAAGTTTCCATTAGCTTAACCTAGAAAATCTAACTTGATAATACAAAATTCAAGTAACCACTCCCTCTTGTGACCATTTTATATCGCGTACATGTTTCTGTCAGAGCACCTGCCATGTGTATTGCATTTGAGTATTTACGTCTCTGCCTCCTTGTCAGACTGTGTGTTCCTTCACAGCAGGAACAGTTGCTTTCATTCATCTATGTATCTCCTGGCAGGATTCCAGGCATGGAGCGGTAGCTCAGCAAATAGAGTGAGCAGATATTTTATCTATGTACAGAGTAGCCATGTATCCAGCTTTCTAGAGTAAACCTGATGGCGCATTAAGAGCTAGTTCACAAGTGGTTTTTTCATGGTACTCCACTCTGAATACTTCAGTTTCAACCAAAATATGTTGTTACAGGGACCTGTAACATTCAAGGATGTTATTGTGGAATTCACCCGGGAGGAGTGGCGGTTACTGGACGCTGCTCAGAGGACCCTGTACAAGGAAGTGATGCGGGAGAACTACGGTCACCTAGTCTCAGTGGGTGAGGAAAACTTCCCCGTGTGGAACTGCCAGTAGTTCGCATTTCCTTTCCCAGTTGCTGCAACACGTAAGGTCCCTGTAGGGCTGCGCCATATTGGCTTTGTTTCAGGGGTCAAATGTGATGAGGCCATTTCGGGCACCAGAAAGAATGCGTGTCCCCACCCTCGCCGGTGAAAGAATCTAAATTTGCCGAGCCAAAGTAGGACTTTAGTGTTCTCAAACTGTACTTCCTTATCCTTCACAGGCCCTAAATCCCAAGTAAACCGTGTTTTCTTCTCCATTCATAGGTTACTGTGTGAATAAGCCAAATGCAGTCTTCAAGCTGAAGCAAGGAAAAGAACCGTGGATACTGGAGGTGGAATTCCCACGTCGGAACTACCCAGGTGAGAGAGAAATTAGAACCCTTGTCGCTAGTGAGGTGGTTGGTGCCTTTTGCCTTCTGAAATATGTTTCAGGAACCTCTTTTTTAAATGCCCTATACATCTGGGAATGACTGAGGGCACTTGGTCTGCATATGCAAGCACCATCAATCGCACCTCCAGTTTTCATTCTTTCCACATAAATTCGTCCTTTGCCAGACTTTGTAAAATAGATTTACTTTTCTTTCCTATATACAAAACTAATTCCTGCCTAACCTTGTCTTAGATGTTTGTCTTTTTTTCTAGAATTCCCATTATTCCAGTACCTGGGAATTAAGTGGGAATTCTAGAACACTATAATCTTAAAGTAGTAAATCTTAACAATTCTTTTTTTTTTTTTTAAGTTTATTATTTGAGAGAGAGACAGAGAATGCGTGTACACATGAGCAAGGGAGGGGCAGAGAGGAGGAGAGAGAAATCTAAGCAGGCCCCGCGCTGTCAGCACAGAGCCCAATGTGGGGCTCAATCTCACAAACTGTGATATTATGACCTGAGCTGAAATTAAGAGTTCGATGCTTAACCAACGGAACCACCCAGGCACCCCTAAAGTGTTAGATCTTAAATCTGACCATAAATTTTTCTTCGAATGCCATTTCCCTCCTTTTATTAACAATGAAATGTGCCTCAGTTATTTTCAGCACCAGTTTATTAACTTCCTGTTCTCTCTTTAAACTCTGAAATTAGGTTACAAGTCATTATGCCTTTCATCAGTTATATTATTTCAGAGTTGATACTTCCTTTTAGATGGTGTTTGTCTTTCACACAGGTACTGATTATCCCTCCTAAAATCTGCACCTTATTTGGAGTGTTATAACACTAAGATAAAAAAACAAAAACAGATAACCCACTAAGATGATCTCACTCTGCTCCTTAAATGCTTTTCCTGTACTTGTGAGCTTCTGCGTTGCCAGGACTAGGAACAATGCCTGGTATTTCTTAGTTGTTCACTAGGATGTTTGTGGAAATATTCAATCTGAACTCACAAGAGACAGACCCTTTCTTCTGCTCTGTGGCTTTCACAGTCACTCCTTCAAGGGCTTATCCTTTCTTAAGACCAAAGACACACAGGCTCTTGTTTCCTGTGCATCTCACTTAGCCTTGCACATGTCCCTGTCACATTAACTTCTTACATCTTCCCTGCAAAGGCCATGAAATTCCTACCCCAAGCCCCTGCTCTTTATCTTTTGCTTCCTTTCAGGCCTTTAAAGAGGAGTAAATCTAAAGGTCAGTAAAGGTTCCAGGATCATGTTCAATAATTCATCCTTAAAGATCATGCAGTAAATTGAAGCAGAAATGTCGAAACTAAGACAGGAAAGCAGTGGAAGACTGGCATTGGGTCGTGGTAACGCTACTTTGGAGATGCAGTATTTTTTGGTGGTCAGGCTTGAAAACGTCTGTGCTACAAATGGAAACTCATCCTGTTGTACGATGGCTTGCACACTGCTGTTTAATCATCTTTCCTTTGGGATGTATGTGTTCCTGGGTCTTCTGTCCCGGTGAAAATTACGCCAGTGAGACGGAGAGAGCCCGGAGTGTGGAACTGTTCCTCCACACACGTTGTGATGTAGTCACTGTAGGGACTAGACTAGGCATCTAGACTGTCGTGTGTGGGTACAGAGGAAATAAAGTAGAAGTTTATAGTCACTAATGAACAGTAAATTACATTCTGGCTGACAAAGGCTTAGCTTTGCATCCAGTTTCATCTTTCCCCAATATTTCTGGTGGACACAGTCGTCTACTAATTTTTCTTTTCACCCTACCTACTGTTCATTGTCTGTAATGGGCTTACCACATTCTGAGTCCCAGATTCTTGTGCAGCACTCTGAATGTCTTTTGTTCTCTGCTCCCCATTCTTTTTCTTTTTCCTTAACTTTTTCTCCAGGTTTTTAAAATGTTTGTAAAGTGTCAGAGTACTTGGGTTTATAATGACATTTCTTCCCTTGTCTGCTCCAACCGTCTTTAGTGTTTATATTTTTTCTAAACCAAAGGCATAGAGGAAATTTGCATATAAGAATTCCTTTATTTGGGGAGATTGCCCTGAAGCCTAAGAATCAGCCCTACAACCATAATAATATGTTAAGATTTAAATGGTATTAAATTTTGAATTCCTTTGTAGAAGACCTTTGGAAGATTCATGACTTAGGAGCAAGATCCCAGGGAAGCCAAGCTGAAAATTCAAGGCAAGTTCAAGATTTTGATTTTAAGATGAAAAGACTTGTAAAAAAAAAAGTGTTGATGGGAGTACTGGAAGTGGGAAGGCACTAACTAGTTCATACTAAACGTGAGAAAACTAAAACACTGGAGTGAATTCCAAAGAATTCACTCTCCAAATGGGAAAGCCCTCTTCCCCAGTGGAGATCTTCTGTAGGACCAGGAGATTCAAACTTTGAAGCAGTCTTTCATTTCTTCAATTGCACAGGAAGGGAGGCTTTGTTAACCAAAGCAGATCTCAGGCAATTAAGAGACTGCATGCAATGCAAAGGAAGGTTCCTGCTACTTAATGTTAAACCACAGTGTGTGTCAGAACATTCATAGTAGAGAAACCATGAATCGAATCAGTTTGGGAACATCTCTAGAAATGGGTTCTCAGCTAGAGTACCTTATGTATTACTGACTTTGGGAATTTCTCTCTAGGAATGGAGAACTCACAAAACACCAGCAAACTCCTGCCAGAGAGAAAATCTATAAATGTAGTGAATGTGGAAAGTCCTTCTGCCAGAAGTCTATCCTCCTAATACATCAGCACACTCACTCAAAGGACAAACCCAGGGAATGTGGGACATCGGTCCCTAGGAATGGAGACCTCACAAGACAACAGAAAGGTCAAGGCAGAGAGAAAACCTATGAATGTAAAGAATGTACGAAAACCTTCTACCACCTGTCCTCTCTTAGTAGACACTTGAGAACTCATGCAGGGGAGAAACCCTACGAATGCAATCAGTGTGAGAAATCCTTCTACCAGAAGCCACACCTTGTGGAACATCAGAAAACACACACAGGAGAGAAACCCTATGAGTGTAACGAGTGTGGGAAGTTCTTCTATGTTAAGGCATACCTCATGGTACATCAGAAAACACACACGGGGGAGAAGCCGTATGAATGTAAGGAATGTAGGAAATCCTTTTCCCAGAAATCACACCTCACGGTACATCAGAGGACACACACAGGGGAGAAACCCTATAAATGTAAGGAATGTGGGAAATTCTTTTCTAGAAATTCACACCTCAAAACTCATCAGAGAACTCACACAGGAGAGAAACCCTATGAATGTAAGGAGTGTGGGAAGTGTTTCTACCAGAAGTCAGCCCTCACAGTGCACCAGCGAACTCACACAGGGGAGAAGCCCTTTGAATGTAATAAATGTGGAAAAAACTTTTACTATAAATCAGACCTCACTAAACACCAGAGAAAACACACAGGGGAGAAGCCTTATGAATGTCAAGAATGCGGTAAATCCTTCTCTGTGAATTCAGTCCTCAGATTACATCAAAGGACTCACACAGGAGAGAAACCCTATGAATGTAAGGAGTGTGGGAAATCCTTCTCTCAGAAGTCACATTTTATCATACATCAGAGAAAACACACAGGGGAGAAACCCTATGAATGTCAGGAGTGTAGGAAAACTTTTATCCAGAAATCAAAACTCACTGCCCATCAGAAGACACACACAGAGGAAAAAAGCTTATAAACAGCATGAATTGGGAACTTTTTTCTGAGTTCATCCTTCAGAATAATCAGATAATTCACACAAGACCAAAAAACTTAGGAATATCATCTATATGGGAACGTTTTAGTCATAAGAGTGTTTCTTGACAGCAAATACACAAAAATTCTTTGAATCTAGAAGGAAGAAATTTTTACCATATGTTAGACTTTAGTGTCAGACACTCTACAAATTGTAAAGCGTGAGAGAGACCATTCTTTTAGAAGTCACAGTATACTGTACAACAGAAATCACATGAGAGAAGAACAAATAAAAAAAAAGGTCAGGAACTTTCTGGTCAGGGCAGCCATCACTAGATATCCCAAAGCTCATGTGAATGAGAGCCTCCTATCCGTGTCCATCCTGAGCTTCAGAAATACTTTACAGGTGGACTCCAAACGCTCAAAGGGGTGACTAGACGTCAAAACAGATCCAGAAGCCCTTCTTGAGAAGTGACGTCTCTGTGACCTTCAGATGAGCGATGCCAGGATAGAACCATCGCAGACATCTCAAATACGTCAGTTTCCTGACAAAAACCTCAGTATCTGTATTGGGTGAGAGTGACAGTTACGCCAGAACTCATGTTGCAGCGACTGGATTGTGAGGGTTGGGTTATTTTTTTCTTTGAAGAAACCTGCAAATGTCTAGATAGATAGATAGATGAAGCTTTTTAAAAAGCACAAACCCATTGAGAAGCCAGGTGACATCCTTAAACTCACGTGAAAAGTCCTTGAGTGGAGCTGACGTGTGTCCGCGTGCTGCTAGGCCAATCACAGATGTCTGTGCGTACATGGATCCCATCCGTAAGTGTACACAGGAAAATCCGTAACCTCAGCTCCGCAGCTCTCACGTGCATGAGGAGATCCCACGTCAACCCTCAGCATTGACTCCTGTTGTTCCAGTGTGTATTTTAAGTGTACTGTTCTTTTACAATTTAATGCATCTCTACTTCCTGGCATTTCTAAGTGAATTCAGATGTTCCTGAACTGATCCTTCAGAAAGAAGCTAAAAGTCTTTTTGTAAAATTCTCCAGTTGTCTCGTGGTCAGCCAAATTTTGCATTAGGGACACATTTATTCCTAAGAAAAGACTGAGTTTATTTTATTTTATTTTTTTAATTTTTTTTTCAACGTTTATTTATTTTTGGGACAGAGAGAGACAGAGCATGAACGGGGGAGGGGCAGAGAGAGAGGGAGACACAGAATCGGAAACAGGCTCCAGGCTCCGAGCCATCAGCCCAGAGCCTGACGCGGGGCTCGAACTCCCGGACCGCGAGATCGTGACCTGGCTGAAGTCGGACGCTTAACCGACTCCGCCACCCAGGCGCCCCAGACTGAGTTTATTTTTAAAAACAGCTGATGAAAACAGTCTGTATGATAAACAGTGCTGTGTGAAGAAGTAGTGTCTGTCCTACTGTTGATGTTTTAGGAGGGTGCAGAGGTATCTGCAGGACAATTTTGTGTAAGGAAGGATGTTCTTCACACAACATGGCAGCGGTTAAGAGTGTGGACTCTGGACTCCCACTGCCAAGGCTCAGATCCCATGGGGCATGCCACTTACCCTCTCTCTCTGTGCCTCGGTTTCCTTTTCTATAAGAGAAGTGAGAATGTTAGAATTGCTTGGAGGTATGAATTAATATTTTTATTATTTTTTTTTTAATTTTTTTTTCAACGTTTTATTCATTTTTGGGACAGAGAGAGACAGAGCATGAATGGGGGAGGGGCAGAGAGAGAGGGAGACACAGAATCGGAAACAGGCTCCAGGCTCTGAGCCATCAGCCCAGAGCCCGACGCGGGGCTCGAACTCCCGGACCACGAGATCGTGACCTGGCTGAAGTCGGACGCCCAACCGACTGCGCCACCCAGGCGCCCCATGAATTAATATTTTTAAAGCACTTAGAATAGCGTCTGAGACATGAGAAAAGCGTAAGTTGGCTACGACTATCATTATAATTGTATTTCTTGAATGATGCTGGAAAACAAAAAGGTTGGCTCCCAGCATTCATCACTCACTTTCTTGCTGTAGTGCCTTGCTTTGGCTTCGTTGTGCATTTTCCTACGAATGATTCAGATACTCACGTGTGACCCGCTGCCTGTCTTTGTAGCCTTACAAGCCAACAGTGGTTTTACGTTTCTAAATGGTTGAAAAAAAAAAAAAAGAATATTTTGTGACATGTGCCGATTATATTCAGATTTGTGTCCATAAATAAAGTTTTACTGGAACACTAATAAAGTTATAAAACAGAGACCGCTGTCTCTGTTCTGCCTGAGGCTGCCTTCAGCACTATAAGAACAGAGTTGAGTAGTTCTGACGGGAGACCATATGGCTCACAGAGCCTAAGACAGTTACTGTCTGGCACTTTACAAAGTCAAGTTTTTCTGTTACTTAGGACTGAAGACATCACAATCAATGTATACAGTGTACTTTTATATATGCTACATGTTCCAGGAGTGATGCACACAGCAGTTTGTGGGTGGGTGGTTTTTGTGGTGTATTTATTTTGTACATTGTATTTATATGTTAAAAGCCTAAGCATTAGAATTTTTTTTTCAAAGAAATGTGTTTTACTTGTTGAACTGTCATAAAATGCAAACATCTTCTGATGGAATGTAGCACTACATGTATGAAATAAACATTGTCTGAATTAAACAGAATTGTTAATTTGTCCCTACCTAAAATATTCCTTTACTTTATTACAAATCTATGGCCCGCTTTCCCTGTATCATTTTATAATTTTCTCACTGTCCCATGAGAAAATACCATCTTTATGTCACACTTAACGTAATTTAACAACAACAAACCCTTACAATACCCAACCCAATTCCACCAGGTACATTACCAGTAATCTGCATTACTAGTATCACTACATTACTAGTAAAATCATTGAACTGCCTGAACTTCATTCACTTGTCAAATGCTGCTCCCATCTATATCCTGCCCTTACCTCCCCTTCCTAACGATGACTTCCGTGATGCTCAACTTCTTACGCACGCCTCCTTCTGATTTGTCTAATGTTTACCACTAATGAATTCCTACTATATTTAGTGACTGCATGATTTATAGAACTTCCAAACATTCAAATACAATATTGTTACCAATATTCTACCCAACACTGACGTAAGTAAGCCATCCTGACTACAGCCATCAAGTTCTTTATTTCAACCTGCTTTGAAAGCAAATATATTTCTAAATTTCCCCTGGCTTCGCAGCCAAAAATTAAATAAAAATTAGTATTTTGTGGGGAAAGTCCAGTAACTCTGCCAAACCTGTTATTAAGAATAAAGTCTGGGGAGGGGGGTGGGAGGGCGGGGAGGGTGGGTGATGGGCACTGAGGAGGGCACCTGTTGGGATGAGCACTGACTGGGTGTTGTATGGAAACCAATCTGACAATAAATTTCATGTTAAAAAAAAAAGAATACAGTCTGTACTGGGGCGCCTGGGTGGCTCAGTCGGTTAAGCATCCAGCTTTGGCACAGGTGATGATCTTGGCGGTTCATGCGTTCGAGCCCCGCATCCGGCTCTGTGCTGACAGCTCAGAGCCTGGAGCCTGCTTCGGATTCTGTGTCTCCCTCTCTCTCTGCTCCTCCCCTGTTCACACTGTCTCTCTCTCTCAAAATAAACATTAAAAAACAAAAAAGGAAAAAAAGGATAAAGTCTGTACTAATGAAAATCTTCTAAAAATACTCTGATGAGAATAAAATATTCCTGGTCTTAAAATTCAAGATGGGAACTGGACTGCTTCTTGGCAAGAGCCTCAAGCCACGAATTAGTAACCACGAGAATTGACGGATCAGAGAGAAATGATCGGTGTCTTGTCACCACACATGCTTATGAAGAAGACAAGCCAACCTGACAGTTCCACATTTCTGAAAGCCAATCAGCACCAGCATTCAGTTCGCCCGTGCTCGGAACGTCAGTCAGGTGCAGCCTCACTCCAGTGACCAAACCTTTACAACTGAAAGCCAGCAAGTCAGTCCCCCAACACTTCTGCTTCTAAAAGCCTGCCAATCCCTGAATCCATTTCCCAAACCCTGAATCACTTTACTTTCCCAGACTGACTTATGAGTATAGCCCTTCTCTGGTTAGTATGGTGGCCAACGGTGGACAGAATCAATCCCTTCCTTACTCCGTTCTAAAAAGATACTTTTTTTTCCTCATCCCCTTCAATCTGGACTGGCCTCCTGACTTGCTTTGGCTTCACTAGAATGTGACAGATTCCAGGCCAACCCTTCAGAAGTGTGGCAGTTTCCTCTTTCCTTTTTGAAGCTAACCACTGTGCACAAAGTCCAAGTAGTTTGGAATCACCAAGCTGTGAAGAAACTCAGGCTACTAGAGGTGGAAGCCCAATATAATCCCAGACACAGAAGCGAAGGTTCTTAGATCTTCTGGCCCAGCCAAGCGAGACTTCCGCTAATGCCAAGTGCAGGAGCCACCTACTCCACCTACAAGAACAAATCACTACAAAAGCCATGAAGTTTTGAGTGTTCCTGTTACATAGTAACAGATGAGTGAAACCGACAGGGAGCCAGAAGTCAAGCTTGCTTCAGGTACTGACCAGTCTCTTCTTTCATAAAAGTTTTACGGTACACGCAGCGCCAGTCTTGCTGTCATGAAGAACACCACAATGACCACCATTCAATCTGACATCTAACAAGGATTTGCCCACACACCACAATCTATTGCCACGAAAAGAAGCAACCCTAGCTAAACTAGACTGTCTCATGCTGCTGCCCCAGCCACAGCTGTACGCTGAGTATTAGAAAGACTAAACCCAAGTGCAAGGGGGAAACTGTCCAGACACTGTCCTACAATAAAGATTCTATCTAAGAGATTTAACAGTTGACCAGATCATGCTTTATCTGTAAAGTTCACACAGGGCTAGGGGCCCTCCCTCTTCGAGCATTATAGCGCTGGACCAAAGGGGTATTTCTAACTGTCTGGCTGATTTAGGGGAGGGGAACTGGATTCTATGAGAGAGAGCAGGAGGCTGGGGCTGCTACTAGTTGGTCTGCATATGCAAGAGGTGCTCCAGGCCCAGCCCTGTGTGGTCTCTAAGGGAGCAGACTCTCCCTGGCCAACAAGCTTTTTAAGCTGTCAAACGTAAAATACAGAAAATAAAAAAACATGATTAATACACGATGCTTTGAGAAATGCTTAGTATTCCTTAGCCCAAAGTTCTACAACTATTACTAACGATAATGACAATGTGAGCTATACTTTTCAACATTTATTTATTTTTGAGACAGAGAGAGACAGAGCATGAACGGGGGAGGGGCAGAGAGAGAGGGAGACACAGAATCTGAAACGGGCTCCAGGCTCTGAGCTGTCAGCACAGAGCCCGATGCGGGGCTCAAACTCACAGACCGTGAGATCATGACCTGAGCCGAAGTCAGACACTTAACCAACTGAGCCACCCAGGTGCCCCTATACTTTTCAAATCCCTATAAGTTCACGGGGTGCCTGGATGGTTCAGTCAGTTAAGCATCGGACTTCAGCTCAGGCCACGATCTCACGATTTGTGAGTTCGAGCCCCGTGTCGGGCTCTGTGCTGATGGCTCAGAGCCTGGAGCCTGCTTCAGATTCTGTGTCTCCCTCTCTCTGCCCCTCCCACTTGTGCTCTGTCTCTCTCTCTCTGTCTCTAAAAAATGAATAAACACTGAAAAAAGTTTTAAATAAAATCCCTATAAATTCTCATAAAATTGTTACTAAATGATCTGAGATTTGGCTTGAATTTTCCCCTCATAAAGCTTAAGTTTAGATTTATCAAATAGCCAATGTCATGTACACAGCCATATGCCTGAAAGGTATGCATTTCTAAAAGTAAAGTCACCAGAACACCTACAAAGTCTACAAAGGTATTATATATGTTAAAAGAGACACCAATCAATGTTAGTCTTAAAATCACACTGAAAAGGACCATTTCCTATATTTATATTCTCAAATGCTACAAGAATAAAAGCATGGAGGAGAATTACCAGAATAGGTCATCCATTTATTTCTGACTTTGGAACAAATGGATAAAACGGCTTAAGTCACAAAGGTCCTACAGACTGAAATAACTCCATTCATTAGAGTAATACCAAGAAATTAAAATTGATGTTGAATACTGTAGACAGACAGAATCTTTCTAGATGTCTGATTTCCAGGTGCTTAAAGGTTGCTATGCAGCCAGTATGCTCAGCCTCCATTAAATGATGATTCTGCACTAAAGAGACTGAAGCCTTTATGGTCAAAACTGTTATGTCCAAAATGAAGGAGTTTGAAAACTTCTAATGAGGAAAATGATATCGATCTAATGTAGAGTTGCTCATAGAAGGACACTGACCGATTATATAGAGACAACCTGTCACATGTACTTAACAGTTAAGCTCTCACTTTTTTTCAGACAATCTATAAAAACTCATCTTTTCTTGGATGTCCTGGATAGGCTACGTTAAGACAGATTTCCCAAACTGATTTCTGTTAGCTGCCAAACTACTCACTTTACCTAAAAAGAAAAAAATAAATAAAAAGTAAAAAGGTAAGATTCACTGTTCTCATTGTAGCTACGATTTACCATTTTATCTTCATAAATGAATCCTTTATGTTGGCACAACTGTCTGGTATAATTTGTAAATTATACCAGAGTAAATTTGTGTACAGAATGCTAAATATCTCTTAAGTAATTCTTTGACAAAATATGGACTCCCTAATTACAGACATCCTTGGAGAGGCTCCAACATCATAATCAGCAGTTAGTACATTCACCTCATCATTCCCTTGGCTTGAAATTCTGTCCCTTTCTTCTCAAACTCTCGTCACGCTGGGGGAAATCCTCCCAAGATTGTGACCTTCCCATCTCACGTTTGTCAGAAGACTGGCCTCAGCTTTCCACATAGTGCCTGCCTGGTCTATTTCATTCTAGAATCCTCCCTAGGGGAGCTTAAAATTGGCCACAATCTCCCCCGAAAGAGACTGAGAGGAGCCAGAGGTAGCACCGCAGGCCATCCCTGCCTCTTCTAGGTGCAAAATGTTCATGAACATGAAGCTGGAGAACTGCCATTCCTGGAACCTTCCATGACATGTGCCCTGGGGGTCACCAATCCAATTCCTAGAAAAGCAGTATGGTCAGGGGAGGTGCAAGGTTCTGTGCTACAGATAACCTTTTTAGGGTATCGGAAGCCTGGTAATTTTAAGAAGAAAATATTTCTTGCAAGCAGAAAAGAATCGAGAATAACATGATCACCTATTGCCCTGTTAACAAGTAAAAGGCTACAAAAACCAAAGCCCATGCCGATCTTTATAAAATCATTCACCCAACTGTACCCTTTCCATTCTCAGCTATTCTAAACTCCTTTATCCTCTATATCTACTTATACTTTTACTCTGTATGTTTGTGTCTAGAATAATATATATTTGGGGTGCCTGGGTGGCTCAGTCGGTTGAGCATCCAACTTTGGCTCAGGTCATGATCTCGCGGTTTGTGAGTTTGAGCCCCGCAGCAGGCTCTGTACTGACAACTTGCTCAGAGCCTGGAGCCTGCTCCAGATTCTTTCTCCCTCTCTCTCTGCCCCACCCCCGCTCACACTCTGTCTCTGTCTCTCTCAAAAATAAATAAACACTAAAACAACAACAACACTAGAAATAATATATATTTTTGCTTTGCAATTTTTCTATCTATGGTAGCATGTAAGCTCTTCTAAACCTTGCTATTCAATTCTATGGTTTTCAGGGTTATCTATATGATCTATGTACAGTCAAGTTGATTAAACTAGTACATACTATTCTACTTCATACAAGAATCTTTTCAGTTGTAGATCATTTAGTTTCCAATTTTTTATGATAAGGGAAATATAATTTCATTATATAAAGGAGTAAGAGATTCACTACTACAGCTGAATGTAATTATTGCTCATTGCTGAGGAGTTAAGAATCCCTTTTTTTTTAATTTTTAAAAACATTTATTTTTGAGACAGAGGCAGAGAGAGAGAGAGAGAGAGAGAGAGAGAGAGAGAATGTGACTGGGGAAAGCACAGAGAGAGTGGGAGACACAGAATCTAAAGCAGGCTCCAGGCCCTGAGCTGTCAGCACAGAGCCCGATGCAGGGCTCAAACTCACAGACGGCAAGCTGAAATCAGAGGCTTAACTGACTGAGCCACCCAGGTGCCCAGAGTAAGAATTTCTTTATAGAGAATTTTATTTTTTTTTATTTTTTTTTTCAACGTTTATTTATTTTTGGGACAGAGAGAGACAGAGCATGAACGGGGGAGGGGCAGAGAGAGAGGGAGACACAGAATCGCAAACAGGCTCCAGGCTCTAAGCCATCAGCCCAGAGCCTGACGCGGGGCTCGAACTCCCGGACCGCGAGATCGTGACCTGGCTGAAGTCGGACGCTTAACCGACTGCGCCACCCAGGCGCCCCTATAGAGAATTTTAAACATTTAAAAAAATCTCAACACACTATAAGAAATAATTTATTATATTTCATGACCCAGCATAACCACACAAATTTAAATTAATTCATTCACAAAATTCTGTTAAGTACCTACCATTCATCAGGAACTATTTTAGGCACTTGGAAATAGCGAATAGAAACATCTCTACCTTAATAATGCTTGTATTGTAGTGATGCGCAAGGTGTTGGGGGAGGAAGAGAGTTTAGGAAATGTAAAAAAAGTAAAACATATAGTAGACAAGATGGCAAGCATTATTTGAAAAAATAAAAGAGGATAGAGAATTATAGAGAGAGAATTCAAATTTAAAAAGGTAGTCAGGGGGCGCCTGGGTGGCGCAGTCGGTTAAGCGTCCGACTTCAGCCAGGTCACGATCTCGCGGTCCGTGAGTTCGAGCCCCGCGTCAGGCTCTGGGCTGATGGCTCAGAGCCTGGAGCCTGTTTCCGATTCTGTGTCTCCCTCTCTCTCTGCCCCTCCCCCGTTCATGCTCTGTCTCTCTCTGTCCCAAAAATAAATAAACGTTGGGATAAAAATAAATAAATAAAAAATAAAAAGGTAGTCAGGGAAGGTCTCACTGAGAAAATGACATTCCAGCCAATAGCTGAAGAATGAGTAAGTGAACTTTGTGGATATATGTGGGAATATGAGATATGTAAATATATGATAAATGGTATAAATCTATATATATATCTATATGTATATATGTATATTCACATGTATTCATAAATGAATATATATATATCAACTTGAAATACTGTTTCATTAAACAGTATCGTTTCCACCTATGATGTATTACTATATTTGATAATCAATTCTATTTTACCATTTTACTTATTGATATGAGCACTTACTAAGTCTTAGATTATGAGTTTCTCTAACCAAACTCATTTGTTTCCCAAACACTTTTTTCCCCTATTTTTTTAACTTCACTTCCCTCTAAGCAATGTGGTATTCTTCAATGACAATAAAAACTTAAATGTGGTCATACCCTCAACAACATCTTAGCACTTACTACATACGAGGCACTATTCTTGGCATAGGGTTTAAAGCAGTAAAAGAAAGCTCCGTGTGTTTGCACAGGCTTAATTCTAGGTGGGGAAGACAGGGTAGGGATCAAAAAGTAAGATACTCACGGCTCACTGCAGGAAGTGCTAGGATGAAAACCTAAGAAAGCTAAAGAACTGACGGAGGCGGGTGCGTGATCAAGGAAGTCCTCACTGACGTTACACTGACGTAACACTGGAAGTACATACGGGGATGTGTCATGTTAAAATCTAGAGTAAAAGCATTAAAGACAGAAGAAAAACTATTTCTAGTATATACAAACACAACTGAAGAAATATATATCCTAAAAAAATTTCTGGAAAGAATACCTTCACTACTTATAATGCAGTTTTATATTCTACTTCAGTGTTGTATATGGAAAGTTTGCCCAAATCCATGGAAAGAACTTTGCAACCTGTTCATGGATGTCATCCTACAATTTTAAACCAAAGCTCCAGGAGTTATAAAGAGGAATGGGATTGCTGGGTCCTCTCAAGAGATGGCACCAATTTTGTTAGGGCCCAGAGGACAATGAAGTGGTAAGAACATACCCGTGAGGGGAGCACAGGGACAATGAGTGAGCTTAGCAGGGACTCTCCTCTGGAGGCCAAGTCTAATGGTGGGAAACGCTGCTATGGATTTGTTAGGGCCCAGAGGACAATGAAATGGTAAGAACATACCCGTGAGGGGAGCACAGGGACAATGAGTGAGCTTAGCAGGGACTGTCCTCTGGAGGCCAAGTCTAATGGTGGGAGACGCTGCTATGGAACTGCTCTCACAAATGCCAAGAGAGATGGTGAATTCCGAAGTAGAAGCCAGCTGGCAAGACTAACAGTCGAAAGTACAGAGAGTAAAATACTATACAGGCCACAGGACCAAAAGGCAACGAGAGGGCCTCCACTCACAGGGGTCTGTGGTGACGGCTTATGGACAACACATTAATCTTTAAATCTTGGACCCATGTCAGTCATTTCAGGCTGTTACCAAAAAAAAAAAAAAAAAAGAAAAAGAAAAAAAATCATACAGTGGGCAGCTTATAATTAAAAGAAATGTTATTCACACTGTTCTGAAAGCTGGGGCATTCAAGACTGGGGAGCTAGCGTGGTCAAATTCTGGTGAGAACCCTCTTCTGGATTGCAAACCCGACTTCTCATTGAATCTTCATGTAGCAGGGAGCAGAGGAGAGGAAGCAAGCTCTCTGGGGATTCTTACAAGGACACCAAATCCAATTCATGGGGGCCCCACCCTCATGACCACATCTAATCCTAGTCCCCAAAGGTCCCAATGCTTAATACCATCATATCGGGAGGCTTGGTTTCAACAACTGAAGGGACACAAACATTCAGTCTGCAACAGCTAGAAACCAAAAATTACCTCGTCTTTCTTGAGTTCATAATGCACATATGACAACTACAACAAAAAGAACAGTGCCAGGAAGGAGGTAAATGGACTTTTTCAGTTGCAAGGTTTCTACATTTTATGCGAAATGGTACATTATTAACTCTAACTAGAAGGTGAAAAGTTGAAATGTACACTGAAAAAGTAGTTGCTAGAGCAACTAACGTACAATACAAAGAGATACAGATTGGGGCGCCTGGGTGGCTCAGTCAGTTAAGTGTCTGACTTCGGCTCAGGCCATGATCTCATGGTTTGTGGATTTGAGCCCTGCGTCGGGCTCTGTGCCGATAGCTCAGAGCCTGGAGCCTGCCTCAGGTTCTGTGTCTCCCTCTGTGCCTGCCCCTCCCCTGCTTGCGTTCTGTCTCTCTCAAAAAACAAACATTTAAATTTATTTTAAGAAATGAATAAAATAAAAAGCCAACGGATCAATTAAAGAAGAATTCTAAAAAATATTCAAATTCAACAGCAAGAGAGACAAGAAATCAGAACAACAAGAGGGACCAATCATAAATAATGAAATTACAGAACTAAATCCACCAATAATTCATCTTCATGTAAGAAATGAAGAGAGGAAGGTAGATTTTGAAAAGGCCAAGTACCATCTTGAAAGGCATCTGCCCCATGTTGGGCATCCACACCGTCTCTAGGAAATGGTAGTGCCCTCCTTTCTATTAAGGAGAAATGGCTTCTTCTGCCCGTCTGAAGAGTTTAAGGGAACCTCAAGGCTCAAGTCTCGGGTGTACAGCTGCAAATTTCCCCATTCGAGATCTCAATTTCCCACCCCCATTCAGGAGGTTCCTGAATCTCACACAAGAGGTCTGTGACACCCGCACCATGGCAAGCTCCTGCTCCCCCGCAATTAAAGCTGGGGCATGACTTACGGGACATGGCCTTACATCTCGGGATAGAAGACTCCTTTGAAAGCTTTTATGGCGGGCTGCTGTCCTTTACTGTGTGCCCCGTGTTGACAGTTAACCTGAACCCATCTTCAAGCCTCCTAAGGCAGGAAAGTCAGTAACTCCACAACTCATAAACTTATCATTGCCCCATCCTGTTCAAGTGCTGCAGCTACTGCGGAAGACCAGCCTACCCCTCCTCACCCTACTCTACCACATTCGAGAATCCTTCTTTCACGGGACGAGGGTTAGCCTCCCACCACTTACCATCAGCAGTGTGGACTTCACTGCCATCTGACTAATAAGCAATCTAGTTTTAGATTCCAAAACCCAACTTCTCATTTGTAGGCCCATTTGTGGCGCCAACACTACTGCTCTGGGTTGGAACGAAGGCAGAGACAGACAAGGAACTGTCTGTCAACAGAGAGTTGATTTTGGACGTCACCTAGGACAACCAGAGGGGGATGGAGAGAGTTGGCCAAGAAAGCAGGGAAGGTGAATAAAGCGCCACTGGAGGAACAGCGTCTAACACCACTGTGGACTCTGAGTAACTGTACGGGATGCACCTCAAAGTAGATCCTGCTGAGGGACGGCCTGGACAAAATTCACTTTCAGTATATTCTTTTTTTTTACCATTTTCTTACTGTTTGCTCATAGTCCACTGGTAGTGATGTCTTAAAA